AACATTTCACGTGATATAACAATATTACGCTGTCTTCTTAGGCTACGAACTCACCAATGCGAAAACGAACGAAAATATTTGCGACCACACCAGTATTTTCGTTTTGTTTTCACCTGTCCACACTTATTCATTCGGAAACAGATACTTTTTAATACGTTTTCGTCTATCGTCCACACTAGAAAACGCCCAAAAACGCTGATGGAAATGACAGTATTTGGCGTTCTTTTCGGCACCGTTTTCAAAACCTCCGTTTTAACTGTCCACACTAGAAACGGAACGTTTTCAAAACGCTCCACTTTCGAAACCGTTTCCGAAAACCTCCATTTTCATCAGCGTTTTCGGGCGTTTGAGTGTGGATTATAGAAGAAAACAACACGCTACAGTGTGGTCGGGACCTCAGCTTTAATACTTTAGATCGTACAGTTATTTTGCATATATATTTTTCAGTTATTAGTATTTTCAGGCGACATATCACGTGTCCTTTAACTTGGGTCAGTTCAGGTAACTTACTGAGAGTCTACTCTTAAAAAACTACAGGGACCAGATTCCAAACAACACCTTTAAAAGCCCTTCTTTTCCTGCAAAATCCGAGACAGGCCACTATAGAAAANGCAACCTAACAAACAGCCATGTACATTATTACTCAGTATTGATCTGAATATGCTGGGTGATCAGAAAGGCAAATTTACCCACCAAATAATAATATATAGATTTAGCTAGGCCTAAAAGCGGGACTCCTGATTACAATAAATTAAACTGGCTTGAGCCGGCGATGCAACCTGAGCTCTAAACCTGAGCTCTCGATATTGTCAAAATTTTGAACTTGACAATGCTGTCATGAGGACGGCGGAACGTTTGTTATTACTTTCGCTAGTTTCGTTCTAAACTACTAGATAGTTAGTAAAAATCATAATGAAATACTTGAACATAATTGAACTATCAATTAATTTACTAAAAATTACTAAGACTTTTCATCTTTATACTCCTTACGACCTTACTGAACTGTTAACAGGTAATCTGTGGCCCTTTAGTCACTCACCAAGATGACTTTACTGATGGTAATGCCAGCTGGTAAATTAAGAATCCAGTTAACAGGTTCGTAGCTTCCAAGTACGAGTATAATAGGTCGGCCTGACTTGCCACTGCTGACGATACTGACAGTAGCATCACCGGCTGATGGCGGACGTCTGTTGATAACCTCGTACACAGACATTACGTGGACTTCGTACTGTGTGGAACTGCTCTTAGGTGTACAGCTGTAGATTGTCCCGGGCTGCTGATTGTTATACCGTGGTTTTGCAAGGGATTTATCAGAATTGACCTCGATTCGACATCCATAAGCATCAGCTGAAAATGAAAAAGTTAAAATACATAAGCGGATCAGCGAAACTTCTCACAGAAGAGATACTATTTATCAGACCAAGATTTCTTAACCATATTAAACAACTTACGCAAGCAAGTGTTATAGTCGTAGTCCTGTCCAGTACAGTAACAGTATCCGCCCTTGCAGACCGCCTTCATGTTTCCAAATTGGCCAGAGCAATAGTTGCCAAAGCACCTTAAAATGTTCACAACTACTTTGTCTTGAACACTTTAAAACAAAATAACTGCAGCAATTTGTGTTCTTTGCTCGCCTTTTATTTGTCCTTCAAACATTTCGTGTTGGATTCGAGCAAGGTTTTTGCACTTGATTTGTTGCGAGAGTGAAAAACAACTTACGTAAGCAAATATTCTAATCATAGTCTTGGCCAGTACTAAAAGTTATCTACCGGACTAGGGTCGGTCTGTATAGAGAAGAACTGTGACCTCGGACTTAAAAATACTGCCCTCGGCGTTAGCTTCGAGCAGCACTTTCAAGACCTCGCTCACAGTTTGTCACTTTACGGACCTTCCAGACGGCAAGGCCATACACCCTTTATCCTTCGACTTAAATGTGGAAGCCAAGAAATGTTGTCACTAATGTTGCGGCTGTCTTGCGGTGAACCGGAGTGTGATTGATTGGTCTTTATTTGTCCATAATACTATGACAGTTGAAGTCTGCAATAACTAAAAAGTTTGTACCTTGTGGGGAAGATAAGGTCAGTGACCATTGATCTGCTCTGTAAGTGCCGGTAAATGACGTCACTACACCAAACGTGTTGTGTAATTGTCTGAAAAAGAAGGAAAAGTGCAGATAAGTGCGTACATGCAAAACTGTGAGTGATAACCATACACTTTTACGACGACGTACAATTTTCTGTTTGCCTACCTCAGAAGTCCTACTGTATCACCTCCCCCTGAATCGCTTCCAATTCCAGCATCCCATTGTGAATCTCGGGTACTTTTTCTTTCAATGACTTGCACTTGGTTGACATCTCCTTTAACAGAACTTTCATCCAAGTAATATGCAACCTAAAAATAGAACACAGGCCTTCATTTATATCTGGAAGGGTTATTTTTTCATAATTATTAAGGCGATTCCCTGGATTCATTATAGTCACTGACTAAACTTCTACTAAAATAGAATTAATCATATTTAAGAAAATTTTGCAGTGGACCTTAAGAAAGGACTGTAATAAGTTGTGAAGCAGACAATACAT